GCTGAAGTCGGACGCTTAACCGACTGCGCCACCCAGGCGCCCCAGGAAGCAGAATTTAAGGAAAAGGCAACTATATCTGCATGTCAGACAGAAGCTGTCAGACCCAAATCTACCTCGTGATCTTTTCTCTAATTTAAATTTATTCTCGGGGCGCCTGGGTGGCGCAGTCGGTTAAGCGTCCGACTTCAGCCAGGTCACGATCTCGCGGTCCGGGAGTTCGAGCCCCGCGTCGGGCTCTGGGCTGATGGCTCAGAGCCTGGAGCCTGTTTCCGATTCTGTGTCTCCCTCTCTCTCTGCCCCTCCCCCGTTCATGCTCTGTCTCTCTCTGTCCCAAAAATAAATAAAAACGTTGAAAAAAAAATTTATAAAAAAAAAAAAATAAATTTATTCTAATACAAATCCAAAAATCTAAAAGTTACACTAATGAAATACAGAAAACCCCATCCCTTACATCTTCTGTGTGTCTGATATTTTACAATCTTTCATAAATGTGGCCTCACTGCTAATAGTCTTACTTCTAAAGTGTTCACAAGCAGACAGTTATATAGTCTGAAATTAGTGATAATTTAGTTTTTAATCCTATATGTTTTTATACTGGATTAGCGTTCTACAACCCACAGTATAAGGCAAGACATGCTACTGTTCAGTGGTTTTCATATAGGTGCTAATGTACTTGTCTTCCTGGCATAAAGGCAAATACGTTTTTCTCTTACCTCCTAATATGGAGCAACTCCTGAATTAATCAAGTCCAACCTGGTCACAGGCAGGCCTCTGCAGCCCCCTACTGCAGTCAGCGCATCTACCCTGCCCTAACATCCCAAGTCTTCATTCATGATGTGTGTTGTCATCTAGAATAAGAAATCTTCGCACAGAAACTGAAACTTGTTACGACCAAAATTGGAAACTAAACATACCAGCGATATAAAACAAAATGACAGGTATAAAAACAAAACTAAATCTTTATCTAAATTATTCAAAGAAAACAGGTAACCTAACAGACTTGGTTAGTTTGGCGTGACTGCTGAGTGCCCTGTCTTTGCAACCAGCCCAGATGGGTTACATTCCCTATTTTCCCCTAAACAAGGTATGAATTTAAACAAATACGGTGTGTCTATATTGTTCTGATCTTTATAATGAAATAGTAGTGCAGGTTTATAGATTTACAAGAGTAAACTAAGCTACCATGTGTATGGACTTCACAGCAGTTTTTACACGCAGTAAGTGATTTTATTTTTTTTTTAAGCTTATTTGTTTATTTTGAGAGTGAGAGCAAGCAGGGGAGGGGCAGAGGTGGAGGAAGAGAGAATCCCAAGCAGGCTCCACACTATCAGCACCAAGCCCAAGGTGGGGCTCAAACCCACAAATCATGAGATCGTGACTTGAGCTGAAATCCAGGTACCCAGGTACCCCTACGTGATTTTAAAAGTTATATATTCAGGGCTCCTGGGTGGCCCAGCTCGTAAAGTGTCTGACTTCGGCTCAGGTCGTGATCTCGGGGTCTGTGAGTTCGAGCCCCGCATCGGGCTCTGTCCTGACAGTTCAGAGCCTGGAGCCTGCTTTGGATTCTGTGTCTCCCTCTCTCTCTCTCTGCAAATGCCCCTGCTCATTCTCTCTCTCTCTCTCAAAAAAAGATAAACATTAAAAAAAAAAAAACTTATGTATTCAACACTTGAAAGCATGTGTAGAAAAAAACACAAAACACCTCTAAATACTTCTAAAGGGGAACCAATGGTAACTGGAGAATACTGAATTGCAGTGGACAAGATAAATGTAGCCTGTGCACCATAATCCCAAGCAGGGAGGATCTTACTCTGGCTCTAAAGACATAATCAGTCACTGCAAGCTGGCAGAATGGCATCCATGGATGTGGCCACTGGAACAATCTTCTTATCACAGACAGTATTTGGAGCTCTTGGAAATTTCTCTCTTCTCTACCATTATCTCTTCCTTTACTCCACTGAGCACAGGCTGAGGCCCACAGATTTGATTCTCAAGCACCTGATGATAGCCAACTCCTTAGCCCTGCTTTCTAAAGGAGTCCCGCAGACAATGACGGCTTTCGGTTTCAAAGATTTCCTCAACGAAGCCGGATGCAAACTGGTTTTCTATCTTCACAGAATTGGAAGGGCCATGTCCATGAGCAGCATCTGCCTCTTGAGTGTCTTTCAGGCCATCATGATCAGCCCCAGAGACTCCACACACGCAGAACTTAAACTGAAGGCTCCCAAGCACACTGGCTTCTTTGTTTTCTTGTGCTGGATTCTGGCAATGCTGGCAAATATCTCTTTTCCCGTAAATGTGACTGGCAAATGGAGCAACGCAAACATCACCATGAAAAAGGATTTGGGATACTGCTCTGGCGTGGGCAACAACAAACTCATGTTATCCGTACTGGCAGCGATGTTATCATTCCCTGATGTTTTATGTCTGGGGCTCATGATCTGGGCCAGCGGCTCCATGGTTTCCATCCTGCACAGGCACAAGCAGCGGGTCAGATACATTCGTGGTAACAAACTCTCTGCTAGAGGCTCCCCCGAGTCCACTGCCACCCAAAGAATCCTTGTCCTTGTGAGCATCTTCGTGTCATTTTACACCCTGTCCTCCACCTTCCAACTCTGCATTGCTCTTATTAATAATCCCAGTTGGTTGCTGGTGAACATCTCTGCCTTCATCAATGGATGTTTCCCAACTGTCAGCCCCTATGTTCTCATAAACCACGGCTCCAGCCTGTCCAGGCTCTGCTTTGTGTGGCCAAGGAACAAAACCTCCTGATCTCATCAGAAGCATATCAAGTTGTTTCTGCACAGCGTTTACCGTTTACTGTTTATTCACTCCTCTTCACAGAGTTGTGTGCACAGTGGTGATGCAGCCATATTACAAGAAATGTTGGACCACACTGAACTTATGCCCGATAACAAACCATAAATGCTAATTACTGTAAATGTAATACTATGTAATTATCACATAAGTCCTTACATAATTGTTGGTCATGTTTGTAGTGGAGTAGTTCAACGTCTAGAAATAATAAAATGTGGGTCCTGACACAACCTGGATATTAAGGGGGTGTCTTTGGGTATGTAACTTTCAATAGACAGAACACATTTATCCAGAAATTAACCAAGCATGGAATGTCTGGTAAAGTTCCGTGAAAAAGGAACAATATGTGAGCTGGCCATTCAGGAAACTGAAAAAACAAAATGTTCTCTGAGAAAAACGAAACAGAACAGGGTGAAGTGGAAACAGAAATCGGGTTCAGGTATTAGGTGTATTTGGGCTCAAGTTATGAAGTTAGTACATTTCAAGCTTATAGTGATGGTGGTCATTTGGAAGACCACTGTATAGAGGGAGATAAGCATACATTCTTTCCTGTAGAAAGACCCAGATTAAACTGCAGTGGGAAAAAGCACACAGATATACAGCCAATTTTTAACAAGACATCAGGCGAGTGAGAGGCAAAAAGGCAAGATGTCTAGGATGCAGTGACTTGGGTTTTGGCAACTGTACAGGATAGAGTTTTCTATGTAATGTGAAGATGACAAGTGTCATTTTGTTAAGAGTCCTGGGGGCCCTCATCTCACTTAGGAGGAAGTAAGCAGAGCTTTTCGCTATGACCACAGGAGCTCAGGAACAGTCATTTAGAGGTAAAGTCAGGAATCCCATTTGTTTATATCCAGTGTGTGGCAGGAGGATTTCCACAGGAGCAAATGGCTATTTCTCAAGTGCAGAAAAATTTATAATGTAGCTGTCTCTGTATTTACTTTATGAAACCGTAGTAAAATATTAGATTCAGTAATTTGAAAAGACAATTAGTTTGATACAACATTGATATGTTGAACCTTGTGGCACCACATAGAGAACACATTTTTAGATGACAAGAGACACTTAGAAATATTTACCACAGGGGCGCCTGGGTGGCTCAGTTGGATAAGCATCCGACTTCAGCTCAGGTCATAATCTCTCAGTTCATGGGTTCGAGTCCCACGTTGGGCTCTGTCCTGACAGCTCAGAGCCTGGATCCTGCTTCCGATTCTCTCTCTCTCTCTCTCTCTCTCTCTCAAAAATAAACATTAAAAAAAAATTAAAAAAAAATATTTACCACACATTAGACCATGAATGAAGATGCACACATACACTTGTATATGTGTCTGTGCGTGTATGAACATGTATGTGTGGTGAGTTCTCAGATAATGTTTGTTATTCACTGAGTAATGGAAGTGGACAACTGTACATTAATAAATGTCAAGAAGAGCACTCAAAATAATAATTATGATGATAACCTACAATAAACTCTATTATGTGGTCTAGTTGGCAATTTACTAGGCTAAAATGTCAACAGATTATATTTCATTATTTTACTTTAATCCTAATGTTTTGCCCTTTGGAAAAAAAAAAATCCTACTGAACAGAATCAAACAATGTTAGACCATAACAAGAACAATTACCCAGTTTATGTTCAGTATAATAGTGGTGAGTTAGGATTCGATTTACCAACTTATTGCATGTTCCTCATTACTCGTGGTCTATTTTCTTTTTTTTCTATCTTCTGTGTAAATGTTTAACAATTCTGTGTTTTACCCATTAACTTAGAAGGTTTCCTAACCAATATCTTAATTCTCAACCTAGAAATTAAGCACACGTTTAAACACAAATTATGGGGGTGCTTGGGTGGCTCAGTCGGTTGAGCGTCCACCTTCAGCTCGGGTCATGATCTCGTGGTCTGTGAGCTCAAGACCCGCATCGGGCTCTGTGCTGACAGCTCAGAGACTGGAGCTTGCTTTGGATTCTGTGTCTCCCCCTCTCTCCGCCCCTCCCCCGCTCATGCTCTGTCTGTCAAAAATAAATGTTAAAAAATAAATAAACAAACAAATAAAAACAAATTACGTTGTTATTCAATATCTCTACAATAGCATTGCAAGGACATGAAAGCATTAATCTACTTACCTTCTCCTGAATTTTAAAAAATCGGTATTTCAAAATGAGTTTTTTTTTTTTTTTCAACGTTTATTTATTTTTGGGACAGAGAGAGACAGAGCATGAACAGGGGAGGGGCAGAGAGAGGGAGACATAGAATCGGAAACAGGCTCCAGGCTCTGAGCCATCAGCCCAGAGCCTGACGCGGGGCTCGAACTCACGGACCGCGAGATCGTGACCTGGCTGAAGCCGGACGCTTAACCGACTGCGCCACCCAGGCGCCCCCAAAATGAGTTTTAAAGACCGATGTACAGGGATTAAGTACAGAGTCTGGCAAAACAGTACAAACGGAACAAACTTATATATCCATGCCCTAGTTCAAAAGACCGGCTTCTCAGCCCAAAATACCTCCTTGTAACCCTCCCAGTGACTCCATACCAGGGTAAACAGTAATGTGACATCTAACAGCACAGATCACTTTTCTTTCTTTTCTTTTTTAATGTTTTATTTTTGAGAGAGAAAGACAGACAGACAGACAGAGCATGAGTGGGGGAGGGCAGAAAGAAAGGGGGACACAGAATCTGAAGCAGGATCCAGGCTCCGAGCTGTTAGCACAGAGGTCAACGCAGGGCTCAAACCCACGAACCATGAGATCATGACCTGAGCTGAAGTCGGACACTTAACCGACTGAGCCACCCAGGTGTCCCCAGACCACTTTTCAAAGTGTCCATTTGGCACTTTATAGAAATGGAACCATACAGAATAAAACCTTATGTATTTGGCTTCTCATTACAAATGCTGTTTGTGAACTCACCCTTACTATCATTAGGTCATCTATTAGCCTTAATTCCGTTGTGTGGACCCTAACACGTTAACAGATTCCATTGTATAAATGTCTACCAATTGCTCCAGTCTTTCCACTCTCCATGCATTTGTGGGTGGTTTTCAGTTTGGTGCTATTAAGAAAAGCTCTGCTATGTAAATTCTAGCACTTGTGTTTTGGTGACACATGCACAAATTTCTGTTGTTTACAATATGGGGGTAGTGAATTTCATGGATCAGAGGTTTACACCTGCTCACTTTATTATTACTTTCTAACGCTTACTCATTTTGGGAGAGAGAGACAGAGTGCAAGTGGGGGAGGGGCAGAGAGAGAGGGAGACAGATTCTGAAGCAGGCTCTGGGCTCCGAGCTGTCAGCACAGAGCCCAAGGTGGGGCTCAAACTCACGAACTGTGAGATCATGACCTGAGCTGAAACTGGATGCTTAACCATCGGAGCCACTCAGGCCCCCCCACATCTGTTCACTTCAGCAAATACTTTGACATACTTTTCAAAATGTTTTACCGCTTTTTACAGCCATTACCATTTGTATGAGATTCCACATTTATCCACATTCTTCAGGGTGAGCTGAAGCTAGAGAAGTGTTAGTGTAGCAAACTCTCCAGGCGTCTGCCATCCGTGGGTGGGTGAGGATATAGCACAACTGCCTCAGCCCTCTGTTGTCAAAGTTTCACCAGGTGGATGAGTTCTTTGTTGGAAAGTTAGAGACCTCAGTCTCAATAGCCCTGCCTAGTATGTTCCTTGTCTGCCAGTAGGTAAAGGACCCAACCCCTTAATAGACTTCCAGTATATCAGAGACAAAGCAAAACTCTGTGCCAGATTCCGCCATTTGGAGTCTGTGACCAAGGCAGGCAGTCTCCATCTGGAAGACTCCGCTGGGGTTCAGACTCAGGTTTAACGTAGCAGGTAAATTGCTTTGGAAAAGCAGCCGTTGGCTTGCTACTGAACATTTGTCAAAAGTGAAGCCTGATCTATTCAGGACTTGTGACTATCTGGTGTGACATTCCCATGTGGACGAGTCAACTTGGACTCTAAAAGAACAAGGCAGGAAGGTCCTAAATGACTTGCTGGCTAAACGAAGACGGTATATTTGAGAATGAATTCTGACCAGCCTCAGCAACATCTCAGGTCTACAGAGCCGAGTCCTATCTGCAGCCGGAAGCAAAGCCCCTGGCACCGTGAGGCCCTCAGTCATCCCAGATTCCCCTCAATGTCTGGCACTGGTCCACTGATGGGTCAGCTAAAGCTGGAACCTCATATGGGTTCACCGGGCTGGATGTTCATCCTCAATGCCAAACATACAGAAATGTGAGCTGATGTGGTTGTTTTACTCAGTGGTCAGAATCCAGGATCTTGGCTTACTGCCCATGTCGGAGCTGTCTGACCTGCCACTTGACAAACTATACACTGGGGGCACCTGGGTGGCTCAGTTGGTTAAGCATTCAATTTCTGCTCAGGTCATGATCTTGTGCTTCGTGAGTTCGAGCCCCATGTTGGGCTCTGTGCTGACTGACAGCTCAGAGCCTGGAGCCTGCTTCAGATTCTGTGTCTCCCTCTCCCTCTGCCCATCCCCTGCTCACACTCTCTCTCTCAAAAATAAATGAACATTTTTTAAAGAATGGATTTTGGTCCTTGGGTTCAAAGACACTTTCTGCAAATATCACTGACTTAAGGTGGGGTTTCCCCCCAAATGTTTTATACCCTTGATCTCCTCTAGCAGTAAGGATTTCCTCATGGATAATTGTCCCAGTTCGGTTATATCCATCATAATATCTGTTCCGCCCATCACTACCTCCCACCACCTTCCCAGTGATTCATTAAGTAGAAATACTCAAGGCCACAGCTTCCATATTTTCCCATATCATTCTATGGAATGAATCTCCTTTGCCTGTCGGCCAAGAGGCCTAGGGTGTTATGGAAAAATGCAATCAAAAGATACAAAGAAAGTTATCCCACTTCTTACACTAACATGCATGTACATTAAAATGCTAATGTGCAAAATTAAATTTTTTTAAGGTTTATTTTTTGAGACACAGAGAGAGACAGCAGGGCGGGGGGGGGGGGGGCAGTGAGAGAGGGAGACAGAGAGTCCGAGGCAGGCTCCAGACTTTAAGCTGTCAGCACAGAGCCTGACACAGGGCTCAAAGCCACAGACCGTGAGATCATGACCTGAGCCTAAGTTGCAAGCTTAACCGGCTGAGCCATTCAGGCACCCCGCTAACGTGCAAAATTAATATGCGTAACAGGACATCAGCAGAATGGAGGAATAGGAAGCAACCTGGACTCTACTCCCCCGTGGAGACAATAATGGACCACATTACCTTGTGGAAGCTAGTTAGTGTCTCTCTGAGAAATAAAATAAACATTAAAAAAAATTAGAAAAACTGTAGACTAAGATTAAGGGCTGGTATCATTGTGTCGGTAAGTTGTACAAACAAATCACTGGGGCTGATATAATCGTCTGCGTCATTCAGAAGCCATGGTGAGCAAATGCCTGTTCACTGAAGAAACGGATGGTAGTCATGCTGCTGGTGAAGCTGGACATGTTTTTATTTTTTTTAAGTTTATTTATTTTGAGAGAGAGAAAGAGAGAGAGAGAGAATGTGCATGCATGTGAGCCAGGGAGGGGCAAACAGAAAGAGAAGGGAGAGAGAGAATCCTAAGCAGGCTCTGCACTGTCAGCTTGGAGCCCGACACCAGGCTTGAACCCACAAACTGTGAAGTTGTGACCTAAGCTGAAACCAAGAGTTGGGAGTTTTAAGTGACTGAGCCACCCAGGTGCCCCAAGTGGGACATGTCTTTAAAGCACCATTTGTGGGTCTGTAGGCAGACACATTTGTCTCATGTTTTGGAATTCCCTCACCTGTTTATCTCCAGCTTTATAAAGCCCCTTTACTCTGCATCCTAAAACTCTTTCTTCTTACATTCCCTACGAATTCTCTTTCCCATGACCACTCCAGGCTGTTATGCAATCCTGGGACTGCATCAGTCGTGTGAGGAAAAGGGATACTTAATCAGCTTTGTGTAAGAAACAGCAGGGGCCACATTACCTCACTTTTTCCACAAACCCTCCAGGTTAGGACAATAGGAGGCAAGGTTACAGGGGATGCAGGCAGGTGCAGAAGGATGATGTGGGACATTAAGAATTGCTTTTGGGGTGGTACTCTGGCTAGATGAGACTGAGAAGCGCCTGAATTCATATACTAGGTTACTTGACCTGTAACTATTATACAAAGGCACACACATGTACAATGGCTCCCGCTGACCACACCATTTCACAGGAAGGTCCCACACAATATCCAGCTGAGCCTTGCAGGGCGGGCGCCACCCAAAGGAGCCAGCTGAGAATTAACAAAGGTCAAACAACATGTCCAAAGTCAGGACCCAGAAGTTCTGCCACAAACACAAGTACCAATCCTCCCATGACACCAGAACCAATCCTGATACCCCTCTTCTTGTCTCACGCTGCGTAAAAACAAAAGAATGACCCCATTGCCTCCTTGAGGGCTGTGACAATCACCAATACCCCACGGTATTCTCCCAGAAGCACAGGGAGGGCCTGGCCCCTGCTCAGAGAGCTTAGGGGTAAGGTCAAGATATGGGATTAGAGAACTACCAAAAACTGGTTGTCTTGTGGGGACGGCTTCCCTTCGTGAGGCAGGAGCTGTTCTGTGTATCTCTACTTCTTCCGTTGTGAGTGCCCTGGGAACTCCTGTCTGGAATGGAGGGTTTCTTATCCTTGTTCTTAAGAGAAAGACCGAAGCTTTGTTCATTCAGACATTAAGAGACTTTCTTTTTTTTTTTTTTTTTTCCAACGTTTATTTATTTTTGGGACAGAGAGACAGAGCATGAACGGGGGAGGGGCAGAGAGAGAGGGAGACACAGAATCGGAAACAGGCTCCAGGCTCTGAGCCATCAGCCCAGAGCCCGACGCGGGGCTCGAACTCACGGACCGCGAGATCGTGACCTGGCTGAAGTCGGACGCTTAACCGACTGCGCCACCCAGGCGCCCCAAGACATTAAGAGACTTTCAATGGTGCTTCTGGACTCATCATCCCCTTTCCTCAGACCATCTGCCTACTTCGTGCAGGATCAGTGCTGGTTCCAGAACAAAGTATCCACCAATACACAGGAAAGCAAACACTTTAAACCCCAATCCTCTGGATGTACTCCTGTGCTCCTGACTCAATTCTTAAAAGAAGAGCGACTAAATGTTATGTCGGGTGGAGGCACACCCACATTTACAGTGTTCTGGAAAATTCCCAAAGAGGCAATGTATTTTAAGAATGATTTCTGGACTCACCTGTAATGTCCTTTATTCCCATCTGAACACAGAGCTGCACGAGAACTTCATAAAAGCCACCGAACATCGTGTTGCCTTTCTTATTTTGAAGGAATTATAGACACACAAACTGTGCGAAGATAGTATGGAAAAGTCCTTGTAAACTTTACCCAGGTTCCTCAGAGAGTTACATGTTACATAATACAGCACAGTGTATGCCCCAGCAAGCATTTTTACATTCACAATCAGGGAGAAAATGCTCCTATCCAAAAGCTGTCACTGTTCTGGAGATTCTTGTAAAGATGATGAGTAAGGAGTTGGCTACAAACAGGTGCCTGACACTCACATCTGTGGACCTTACCCTTAACCTATGAAGAAAAGGAAGACGTAATGGTAAGGAAGAGGGAAATTCCCCAGGATTTTAATCAGAATCTGTGATAAGGAGACCATTCCTACTGCCAAAACCCTGGAGGCCATATGTGGGTTCCCAATGATGCATGTCCTTCCTTTGTCTTTCCTTCCTGAACCATTGGCTACATTTACCATTTCAACTGAAATCCAGTATTCTCCACTTACCTTTACTACCCACTGAGAAATACTTACTTTACCTTCCTTTTAGAGCCTTATCTATAATTCTGACTGTGACCAGTGTCCATTTATGTGTAGAGATTTACTCTAATGCCAATATCAATTATGCATAAAGCTTCTTCTGAGATCCTGTTAACTACAGATACTCAGATTGCAACAATTACACATGGAACCTGCCCCATGACCAAGTGGTCATTAAGTGGGACTGAATGATTGCAAGATTCACTCAGTAATAGTATGGTAACAGAGAGTCCTTTGTTTTTATGCTAGGAACAAAGCAGAGTAGCACCTGTCACCACAGCATTGAACTATTTCATATGATGCCCAAAGTATGGTAGATAAAACACTAATATGCAATTATATCAAGGATGCAGGATACAAAGCTAAGGTACAAAAGTTAACTGCCTTCCCAGATACTAAAGATGAACAAGTGAATTGAAAATTGAAAACAAAATACCATTTACATTAGACCAAAACAAGAGGTTCCATCACAGACACTGTCATGGCAACATATGAAAGGTCTGTGATGAAGACATAACATGAATAACAGATTTTCAGCCAGAAGTCCAAAGTCAATAATGAAGTAACCTCATCAAGATATCTATCATTTTATTTAGGATGTCCTGTTTCTTTTATCTAAGTAACTAAAATGTAAGCTTTTGTGAAACCCTAAATGAATCATGTGCTTTTTTTTTTTAATGTTTATTTTTTGAGAGGGAGATAAAGAGTGTGAGTGGGGAAGGGTCAGAGAGAGAGGGAGACACAGAATCTGAAACAGCCTCCAGGCTCTAGCTGTCAGCACAAAGCCCAACGCGGGCTCAAAGCCACGAACCCTGAGATCATGACCTGAGCCGAAGTTGGCCACTTAAACAACTGAGCCACCCAGGTGCCCCCATGTGCCTTTTATTAGCCCAGGTGCATCCCAGCTCACTGGGGCATTTCACAATGATACTAGTAATAACATTCTTGGACTCTCCAGGTTGAATGTCATCCATAACAATTTTCTTCCATGTTAGATTCAAACCTACAATTTTGGAAATACATATTCATAAGCTGAATGTGTTTGAGAGTCACGCACTCCACAGTATATCCCAGATTATTTTTCTGGCTATAATGAAAATACCATAATAACACAATTTCAAAGTCTCACCCTCTACAACCTGCCTCGCCATTCATAAATATACACCATATGATCATATTTTGGCATGCCTTTTGTGCGGCAATGAGACCCATGTGTTGCACCGTTACATTAAATGACAACAGAAAAGTAGTAGGCATATGAAAAGAATTAGGAACTAAAAGAAAATTTCAGAAGCATAAAGATGACACAAACTACATTTTTGCTGGAGTGCTCAGGGAATAATTTGAAAAGATAAGGCTTCATGAGTTTACTCTCAAGAATGAACATACGCGGGGCACCTGGGTGGCTCAGTCAGTTGAGCGTCTGACTTTGGCTCAGGTCATCTATGGGTCTGTGAGTTCGAGCCCCGCGTCGGGCTCTGTGCTGACAGTTCAGAGCCTGGGGCCTGCTTCAGATTCCATGTCTCCCTCTCTCTCTGCCCCTTCCCTGCTTATGCTCTGTCTCTCTCTCAAAAATAAATAATTTAATTAAAAAAAAAAAAAAGAATGAATATACACAATGGGAATTTTGATAACTAGAAATCTCATATTTACCCTCTAAAACATTTATGATCATTTGCATTTGTGCTCACTGCACTGGAACAGGATGTCAGATGTCAAGAATGATGACTGCACGCACTGAAGTGTAAGGAGAATATTTATTACATAATGATGCTTTCTCGGGAGACCAGGGTAGGCTTCTCAAGTTCTGAAAATGGGTAGAGAAAGCAGGGAATGGGGACTACTTTTGTTATGATGCATCCTGTGTGGGGCGGGAGTGATGGTACTCACTGACACTGTGAACTTATGACTCCTGCCAAGGGAAGGGCCTCTCGGGCATCATTATTAGCTGGTAAGAGGTTGTAATGATGCTTCACAAGTATCATTAGTCAGGCATCAAAAGTAGAGCCAGACTCTTTAATATAAGACTGAATGTTTACTCCTGACTGACTTGGTTGGGAAAGACCACAATCTTCCTCATGCTTCCTTTTGTTCCTGATGCACAAATAGTCCCCACTGCACAGTATGATTGTGGAAACTGGTTGTGAATTACTGTTTAGATCAACTACCTAAGATATTTTTAGACGATGTCCCAATTCTTTTTCTATTAAGTTCTAGTCTATTACTAAAACACATTCAGAAGTGATAGAATATTTCCCAACGACAAGCCTTTTATAGAGCTTTCACTTTAAGGGAGAATGGAATGAATGGAACTCCTTCCATTTTTATACCAAGATACTAGAATCAGGGAGTGCCTGGGTGGCTCAGTCAGTTAAGCATCCAACTCTTCATTTTGCTGAGGTCATGATCTCATGGTTCATGGGATCAAGCCCCCCGTTGGGGTCCACACTGAGTGTGAAAAAATAAATGAACAAATTCTTAAAAACTTTTAAAAAAGGTACTAGAATCAGAACATCTGTATTGAAACATGGCAAACTAGTTGATTCAGATAAAATTAACTTAAAATGAAATCAATAAATTTCATAGGAAATAAATCTGTAAGTTAGAAAACACTGAGGATTAACAATTTTTTACTCATTTCAAACACATATCAGACTGGTCATGGGTTGCATGCAATATTATACATTCGGGATAAAGAACAAAGACCACTGAAGAATCTGTCTCATCCCAAAGTTATCCTTGAGTACCTTGTCAGTTAATATTAATAGTGGGTATTTTTAAATTTGGTCTATGAAATGTTTTCTTTTTTTTTTCTATTTCTTTTTTTTTTTTTTTTTTTGTTTATTCATTTTTGAAAGACAGAGACAGAGCACAAGCAGGGGTGGGGCGGAGAAGAGAAGGGGACACAGAATCCGAAGCAGGCTCCAGGCTCCGAGCTGTCGGCACAGAGCCCGACGTGGGTCTCGGACCCACGAACTTTGAGATCATGACCTGAGCCGAAGTTGGACACTCAACCGACTGAGCCACCCAGGCGCCTGAAATATTTTCTTCAGCATTGTTTTCTTTTACCTTCTGTTGTTGAGGTGGGTGGTAATATGAAATGTGAAAATTCTCAATATATTTATTTTATTTTAATTAATTAATTTTAGAAAGGGTGCATACAAGTAGGGGACAGGGGCAGAGGGAGAGGGACAGAATCTTAAGTAGGCTCCATGTTCAGTGTAGAACTGACCTGGGGCTCAATCCCACAACCCACAGATCATGGCCTGAGCCAAAATCAAGAGTCGTGACAGTCAACTGACTGGGCGACCCAACCACCCCCCGCCCCATATCTTTAAAAAATTGCACTTTTAAAATGTGTAGCTAATTAGGAAAAACCCTCTTGGATTACTTCCATGTAAATAAGACAAAACCTAATAAAGAAAAGGCCTTTGCCCCTCCCCATTCATCCTTCTTGGTCCTACAGTGGCCATCCTGCTGTAAGGAGAGAGAGTGCTGGGTGCTAAGGGAAGTGGAGCAGGCAGAGGACTGCCCAGGGGACCCATCCCATCCCAAACTGCATCTCTGGGCTTCCTGTTATGTGAGAATGATAAACCACCTAGTTGTTTCAGCCACTGATTTCCAGGAGGTCTGTCCCTCACAAATAAGAACTGTCCGACCTGACCAATAAGATTAATATTTGTATTGAGAGTAGAATGGAGCAAGTGAGAGGGAATCTTGAATTTAACATTTTGTAGCTGAGAAGATCTACAAAAGGAATCCTTCACAGATGGGTTAGAGCTGTTTGGCACGTGCTCCCTAAAACTCACAAGATGAACCGAACAAAATACAGCTTGAGAATTTATGAGGAATGTGCAGAATGCTAGGGTACAAAGTTACAGGAGTAAGGAATTTGGTGTCACAAATAGAATTACATGTTTACTTGAGCATGTGAACTATTAGTCTTGGAGTTTTTATGCACTACAGTAACTTTCTGCTTTGTAGAGATAAAACGCATTTGATCATTCTACCAGTCAGGAACTACTATATTCACTGATATTAGCAGGAAACAAAATTCCCTGCCTTCAAGTAGCTTATATTCTATAAGGTTAAGTCTGTAAGGATAAAATATGATAGTGGTAAGTACCGTAAACGTTTCATGTACAATGACAGATCACAGGGTTTCCTAATTTAAACAATGTTTTCAGGCAATGCCCGCATGATGAGGTCATCTTTGAGCAGAACCACTGAAAGCGTATCATGCAAATACCAATGAGGAAGGGCAAGTGGGTGGAGGAAACAAGCAGAAAATTGCCCGAATGGGAACATATTTACAGTGGATTGGGAATATCCACAATTGTTGTGTGGCTTAGAGAAATGTGAAACTAAGTTTCCACTGCAGGCATTTAAATTTTGGGAATCCTTGCAGTTAGAATTTTTAAAATTTTGATAGGAAAACTGCCCAGAGTGCTTCAGATTGTATGTAATAGATCCAAAACCATGACCTTTTTGGGGAATGCATGGACCTACTTCTTTATGGCAGCCGTACCCCTACCGAGAGAACATAGCAGTGGGGTGGGGTAAGGACTTAAAGGAAAGACAGTAAATACCATTTGTCAAAAGTGTCTGAGGGATTTGATCCCAGGACTTGTTAAGATACATACTTTTCGTCTTGTCTACCCCTGTAGCCAGCCAGGGGTATACTGCTACTTAAGAATGTGTATCAAGTAAAATTTGGTGGGTCTTTTATGCCTCAGTTATATCTTCAATGTCAATGTCAACAAATTTTTAACATATAATAAGATATTGTACTTAAAAATTGAATAGTAACAAAATCACATATTTCATGTTTCCTCATTAGTACAAGATCTACTCACCTCCAATTATTCCTAGTCTTATGCTTCCATGTGAGACCAATCTTGTGCCTAGTATTTATACAAAGTTGACTTTTCGTATGTTTCATATCCCAAATTTTATACTAACTCAGATGTGATGATAATGTGACTCTATGTGTGAGGTCGGCAAACTTTTATGCAAGGAACATACAGTAAATATTTTATTCTTTGTAGGCCATACTGATTCTGTTACCGCTCTTCCAGTATGTCCTTACTGGGTCAAAAGTACCTAAATATGAGTGTGGCTGCATTCCAGTTACACTTCACTTAAAAATAGATGTTGGGCTGTATTTGGCTCACGGTCTGTAGGTGGCAGACTCCTGATCTACACAAAGGAATTAAGAGCACTAGTAGTAGTAACTCTATGGATAAATAAACAATATCTTTCCTATTTTTTAGCCTCCTTAAAATATGGTGGACTGTTTAATAAACTAACACTCTAGTATATATGTGTATAGCATATGTAAAAGAAACCCATACTAATGGTAGCACGGGGCAGAAGCAGAGAAATGGAAGTCCATGTGGAAAGGAAGTGTCGGGTGCTCTACAGGAAGAAGTATAAACTCACGTGTAGTAAGCTGTATAGGATAACCCCTAAAACAAACACATAAAGGATAGTTATAGGTAATACCAGTAAACCAAAAAAGAATAAAAAGGATTTAAAACAAAATCATCTGTAAAAACTGAGTTATTTCAAACAAGGCAGAAAAAGAGGGAACAGAGAAAGGAGATCTAAAAGCAACAGCAAGATAATTTAAATCTATATAGTAATATCTGTAAAAGGAAACAGTCTAAAAACCCCATTAAAAAGGAAAAATTGTCACTGATTTTTTTTTTTTTTTAGTTTTATTTATTTTGAGAGAGAGAGAGAGGGACAGAAAGAATCTCAAGCAGGCTGTGTACTGTCAATATAGAGCCCAGCAACCTCATCAAGATATCTAAAAGAATAGGGGCGCCTGGGTGGCTCAGTCGGTTGAACATCTGACTTCAGTTCACCATCTCACAGTTTGTTAGTTTGAGTCCTGCATCAGGGCCACTGTCTGCTGCTGTCAGCACAGAGCCTGCTTGGATCCTCTGTTCCCCTTTCTACCCCTCCTCCACTTGCATGTGCTCTCTCTCAACAATAAATTATGAAAACATTCAAAAATAAAAAGAGAGGCACCTGGGTGGCTCAGTCAGTTAAGCGTCTAACTTCGGCTCAGGTCATGATCTCATGGCTCCTGAGTTTGAGCCCTGCGTCGGCTCTGTGCTGATGGCTCAGAGCCTGGAACCTGCTTCGGATTCTGTGTCTCCCTCTGTCTCTCTCTCTCAAAAAATAAACATTAAAAAAACTCTTTTAATTAAAAAAAAAAATCTAAAACAAGACTGCATAAACTGAAGAGAAGTGGATGTTTCCACAGGTGCCCTGCTCCTTTGACGCCCAACATCTTATGAATTTTAGGTCATTTTGAGTTTTAATTTTCCCGCAGAGTGAAACATTTGATTTGATTAACCTTCAAGAGCTGGACTTCGTTCTTAGTTCTCATGCACAACACATTGTGGAACCTGCTTAAGCAATTAACCACACTCATTATATTTGTTTTTTTTTTTAATTTTTTTTTTCAACATTTATTTATTTTTGGGAGAGAGACAGAGCATGAACGGGGGAGGGGCAGAGAGAGAGGGAGACACACAATTGTTTTTTTTTAAATTTTTTTTTTCAACGCACACTCATTATATTTGTTCTCCAACATGAAATCTTTGGTGAATCCTGAGGCCAAGTCATAGCATGAAGGCCCTGCTATGCTGTTTGTAAGGTTTCTTTCCATGACTCCGTGACTCTGTGGTATGGAGTTCCCCCATGACATTGCTTTACATTCACATCTTCATTCTACATGTATTCTGGAGTTTACTGAGGCTTGAATACTGCCTAAAGGCCTGGCCACATTTGTGACATTTGTAAGGTTTCTCTCCAGTATGAGTTCTCTGGTGAACTGTCAGGCTTGAATTCTAACTAAAAGCCTTGCCATACATATTACATTCATAGGGTTTCTCTCCAGCATGAATTCCCTTATGTTGAGTAAGGTCTGAACTCCTGACCAAGGCCTTGCCACACTCATTACATTTGTAAGGTTTCCCTCCCCTGTGAATTCTCTCATTACCCCAAAGGTGTCAATGTGTAGTAAAATCTTTACCGCACTGATTACATCGGTAA